CAGAAGATTCTCAGTTTCAGGAGGTCCCATTTATTAATTGTTGATCTCAATGTCTGTGCTACTGGTGTTATGTTCAGGAAGCAATCTCCTATACCAATTAATTCAAGGGTATTTCCAACTTTTTCTTCAAATAGGTTCAGGGTGGCTGAGTTTATGTTGAGGTCTTTGATCCATTTTGACTTAAGTTTTGTGCAGGGCTAAAGGCTTGGGTCTACACATTTGCATCCAGTTATGCCAGCACAATTTGTTGAAGATGTTCTCTTTGTTCCAGCATAAATATTTGGAATGTTTGTCAAAAATCAAGTGTTCATAGGTTTGTGGGTTAATATCAAGGTTTTCAACTCTATTCCATTGGTCTACCTGTCTATTTTTGTGCCAATACCAAGCTATTTTCAGGACTGTAGCTCTGTAATAGAGAAATTCTCTGACCAGTTTTGTCTAACCAATAGACCACAGGACCTTTGTTCCAGAGTGATCCTGTCCCACACCCAAAAAGAAGGATTTTTACAATGAGTTGCTATGAAGAATCTCCATAGGCCTTGCTGAGTGACCTCTCCCAGGTCAGACTCATTTTGTCCAATAACATTTCTATGTGGCTGCCTGTTCTTTTTTTTTAAACCTAAATATAAAATTGGACCATTTTGAGGAGAGATCTGGCAGTAAGGAGATTTCCATATATCTACATAGATGACACCAGCCTGGTCCCAACAGGTCTTTCACTTTTTTATTGGTGTTACCCCAAGATATTTTATGTTGTTTACAGCAATTCTAAAGGGTGATGTGTTTTGATATCTTTTTCCACCAATGTGTCAACTATATATAGTAGGGCTACAGATTTTTTTGAGTTAATCATGTAATCTGCCACTTGGCTGAAGGTGTTTATCAGCTGTAGGAGTGCCCTGGTTGAGTTTTTCGGGTCACTTATGTAGACTATCATATCACCTGCAAATAGTGAGAGTTTGGCTTCTTCCTTTTTTATTTGTATTCCCTTGATATCCTGTTGTTGTCTTGGCTCTAGCTAGAACTTCAATGACAATATTGAAGAGGTATGGAGAGAGTGGACAGCCTTGTCTTGTTCCTGATTTTAGAGGAATTGCATTGAGTTTCTCTCCATTTAATTTGATGTTGGCTGTCGGCTTGCTGTATATTGATTTTATTATGTTGAACTATGTTGCTGTTATCCCTGATTTCTCCAAAACCTTAATCATGAAGGGGTGTTGGATTTTGTAAAAGGTTTTTTTGGCATCTAATGAGATGATCATTTGGTTTTTTTCCTCAGTCTGTTTATATGGTGGATTACAGTCATGGATTTTTGTATGTTGACCCATCCTGGCATCCCTGGGATGAAGCCTAGTTGATGGTGATGGATGATTTCTCTGATGTGTTCTTGGATTTGATTTGCCTGTGTTTTATTTAGAAATTTTACATCAATGTTCATGATGAAATTGGTCTGTAGTTCTCTTTATTAGTATGTCTTTGTGTGGCTTAGGTACCAA